GAGGATGGCATGGTGGTTGAGAGCTGGGTGTTGGGGCCAGGTAGTCTGCATTTGAATTCTGTCTCCACCACCTATGAGCTCTCTGACAGCCGATAAATTACTCTCCCTCAGTGTTCTTGCCTGTAAGAAGGTAATATGAAGGTTGGTATAAGGATGAAATGAGTTAATGTTTGTAAGATGCTTAGAACAGTGCCTAGAACATCATAAGCACTTCTACATGCTTAAAAATAAATCCCTTCCTTTTATCATTTGACTTACCTGGAGAGCAGATATGTACTCTGTAGCAACAGTTTCTATACCTAATTGAGAAAGCAGAGAAGAAAATGTTGCCATTTTCTCCAATATGATTGGATGGGAAGTTCTCTTCTTCCTGTAAGTTACTGTCAGAGAAGTCTCTGGAAAGGAATTTAACAAGAGTTCTGTTGAAGAGGAAGCCACAGACGCAGGAAAACAGGAGGGACAGGGCCCCCGCATAAGGCTGGTTGGCCAGCGGCGAAGCTGTGGCCAGTACCCTGGACAGCTCCCCACAGGCCAGCTCAGGAGCTGGGATTGTTCCCTGTTCTGTCAAGGCTCAAGCTCTAGCTTTTTGCTGAGGGAGGGGGTCCTCAATTCCCTGAGACTCCTGTCCCCTAGTCATTGGAGCTCTGACTGATGGGATAGAAGACTGCCTTCTGAGCTAGATATTGGAGGGTGAGGGAGTTTAATGTCCCAGAAGCTTCCTTAGGGAGGCAGCCAAGAATCTTCCTCCTCTCACCAATCTTCATCTGTCCCTCTATCTTATTCTGCCAAGGTGTGGCCACCTTGCAGATGGACAAGCAGAGGCACACTGAAGCACAGGAAACAGGGAGGTCACGAAGACCACAAGATGGGTCCCGCAACCTTAGTTTAAATCCAGGCCCTACTGTTGGGATCTCAGGCAAGTGACCCGGTTTCTCTATGCCCAGCTTCCTCATCAGTAAGACAAAGGAAAAAACACCTACACTGTGCCAGGATTGAGTGAGATTAAATGAAACAGCACACATAACACCCTTGGCATAGAGTGCTTAATAAATGAGTCTATTTCCTGCCATTGGAGAATGGAGGGCTGAAGGGTTGAGCAAGATCTCAGAGATAACTTGGCTCCATGCTCAAGAACAGTTATGAATTATGAGGGCTAGCAGGCTAGGAGAGATGTCTGCACCTTGAAGTCCCTGGAAAAGTTTCTTTTCTCTAAAGTTCCACTAAATTCTTCAGCCACTAGACAGAAAAACATCTCCTTTAAATTCCCCCCTCTTTTAAAATCAGACAGGGCAAACAATATATGCATATAAAATTATTGCTCTACAGGTTGGAAGACTGCCTCTTTAAAGGTCTTACAATGAGAGAGTCAGAAGAGCCCAGAGGTCTGTGCTGGGAAGCAGGAACTGAAGTACTGTATTAAGAATATGCAGATTATGATGTGTTGAAAGAGGAAGCGTAAACCACCCACACAGAGGTGGCAGTAGCCCCCCAACCCCAGGATCTGAGCTCCCATTCTGGGAAAGTGAAACCCATGGGGTCACCTCAATTGAAGATGCAGTTTCAATACAACTGTACAAAGGAAGCAGAGTCACAGATTTACTTGTTACAGATCCCAGAAGAGGGGGAGGGGGGGATGATCAGGGTTGGGGGGGCAGGGAGAGGGCTGCAATAAACAGGGGGAAGGGCAGTCCTCTGGTCATCTGTTCCAGGTCAACAGGGAGCAGTAGACAGCAGGGTAGCAAACACTACTTATAACGTGGTTGGGGTGGAGGTCACCAATATTTTGTGGGCTTAACTCTAAGTAGTTATTTTTAAAGGTGCCCCAGGAAAAGCAAAATGGAAACTTGAGTCAGAAATCCTAAACTCAGGGCGCCTGGGTGGCTCAGTTGGTTAAGCATCTGTTTTTGGCTCAGGTCATCATCTCAGGGTCCTGGGATCAAGCCCCCCCCTACCATTGAGTTCCGTGCTTAGCAGGGAGTCTGCTTCTCCTTCTCCCTCTGCCCCTTGCCCCCTCACCCCCTCATATATACATACATATACATATACATATACATATACATATACATATACATATACATATACATATACATATA